TGATCTCCAGTTCTGTGGTTCTGTTCCTGTTCTAGTTGTTTGCTTAGTTTGCTTTTGTTTTAGGTGTGGTTGTTAATAACTGCAAGTTTGCTGCCTTTTTACTGTTCATATTTTTTTATCTTCTTTTTCTTAGATAAGTCCCTTAACATTTCATATAATAAGGGCTTGGTGATGATGAACTCCTTTAACTTGACCTTATCTGAGAAGCACTTTATCTGCCCTTCCATTCTAAATGAAAGCTTTGCTGGATAGAGCAATCTTGGATGTAGGTCCTTGCCTATCATGACTTGGAATACTTCTTTCCAGCCCCTTCTTGCCTGCAAGGTCTCTTTTGAGAAATCAGCTGACAGTCTGATGGGAACTCCTTTGTAGGTAACTGTCCCCTTATCTCTTGCTGCTTCTAGGATTTTCTCCTTCATTTTAATCTTGGCTAATGTAATTATGATGTGCCTTGGTGTGTTCCTCCTTGGGTCCACTGATTGGCACTTACCATTCTGAGTGAGCTTCAGTGAAGATACTATATATTTACTAACGATGTATGTCCTAGCAAACAAAGTGGCAGTGGAAGTTTGGTTCCTTTTAGCAGGTTGGGGAGGCCACAGATGGGTAAGCCTGGGCAGTCAGTCTTGGGGAGACGTGACCAGAGATGTTCTAGGTATATTCTGACAGGCACAGGGGGTGGGGGTTGGGGAAAGGAAGGACACTTAGACCAGCCTGAGGCCAGGAACTTCTGGAAAGGCTCCTGGTGGGGGTGACTCCTAAACCAAGTCCTCAGAGGTGAGTTAGAGTTTGCCGGGGAAAGAAACGCTCTTAGAAATGATAAGAAAATCTGGGCTTCCTGGCAAACAAGGCAAAAAGGAAAATATGTGTTGTTTATTTCTTAGTATTTGTGAAAAGGGACATACCTTTCTGGGTGCTAGAAAATGAGACTCTAGAATAATGACTCTCAAGTATTTTCGGTATAAAAATACCCCAAAGATCACAAGACCTCAGCTCGAGAGATTCTGGGTCAATAGTTCTGGGGTGGGGTCCAGGATTCAGAATTCTAACACATTCCCCAAATAATTCTGATGGAGGTAGTCCCCTCCAGCCCTCTTTAAAAAATATATTGCTGTAAAAGAAATGTTTAAATTCAGTTATTCATTAAAAACAATATTATGCCCTGTCCTAAATGCTGGGGAGAGGTGGGAGCACAAGACAGAGAAGCCCCCAGTGTCCAGGGGGACTCCACTCAGCTCGGGGAAAACCCCGGAATCTGAGCTTCTGCCTCTGCTCCCCAGGTGCTCCCCAGGGCCCCTCATACCTCTGCACCTGTCCCACCGGCCGAGGCCTCTGTGGCTCCCAACCACAATCCTCCCCGGTTTCAGTTTTGGTCACCAGGCTATTTGCCTAGGCCGTGGGGGCTCTGTCATGGAAAAAGTCCAGGCCGAGCCTGGGGTGGAAGCCCCTAGGATTCTCCAACCCCTCTAGCAGCTGCTCTGCGTGAGCAGCTGAAGAGCGTGTGACCAGGGTCAGCAGCCGGAATGCAAGGACAGAAACCATTGAGGGTTCTGACACGTGCAGAGGGGCTGACCGGGGTGCACTTGCATGTGTGGGCTCCCAGCTTCAAGGGCTGTGTGCTGTGGACCAAATTGTGTCCCCACCCCAAATTCAGATGTTGAAGTCTCAACCCCCAAGATGATGACATGTGGAGATGGGGCCAATGGGAAGTAATTGGACTAGATGGGGTCACTAGGGCGAGGGCCTCATGACGAGACTAGTACCTTGTAAGGAGAGACAGCAGAACGCTTGCTCACTTGCTCTCTGCCACTCGAGGGCGCAGAGAGAAGGGGACCAGCCAGGAAGAGGGCTCTCACTGAAACCTGACTGTGCCGGCCCCCCAGCCTCTGACTTCCATCCTTCCAGATTTACGAGAAGATAAACATCTGCTGTGGCAGCCAGAGCTCACAAGACACAGCAGCACGGCTGTCAGCCCCTCTCCTGGCTGTGGCTTTCCTGCTTACTCTGGAGTTCCATTTAAGCCCTGTGCCCCAGCCCCTGCCCGGCCCACTTATCTCTGTGCCCGGTGCCCCCCGGTTGAGACGGGGCCCTGCCTTCCTGCTGTGAGTGTATCAGGATTTCATCTGAGGCTGGGCAGCCACTTGCCAAAATTAATGGTTGGTAAAATTAGAGCAAACAGAGGTAAATAGCCCATTACTGACCACACGGTGTCCCTGTGATTTCAACTGCAGTAAAGAGATTACTAAGGTGCCGCAATTTTCTGATCAATGATGGTAATTTTCTTCCCCCTATGATCAACTTAATCACGCTAAGGGTCTAAGAGAGCACAGGGGTCAAAGTGAAATTACACGGCTGTGCACATGTCTCCATGGCCTCGGTTTATTTTGCACATCATTCTAACTGATGTAGTGTTGTGCTTGCTCAGAAGTGAGCCCAGTGCACTTGTAGGAACTATCTGGCTGTGCTCGCGGTCCTACGCTAAGGACTGCAGAATAAGACAGTCTGGTCTGGCCACGGGTACCCAACTCTGCAAAGCCTCCATCCAGCCGTGGTTTTAAAATCAAAGAAATCAAAGCTCACACCTTGCCCTTACCACACATGTGCTGCAAGCCTGGGGCCACCAGTGGCTTTAACAGGGTGTAAGTGGCAAAATGAAGAGAACCCCCAAGCCCTGGGCCTTTTCTCCTGTGCGCAGGCAGCAGCTGGAGTAATCATGCTAGGTAGGGCAGGAGCAGCTGCCAACCACACTCGGCACTAGGGGGTCTCAGAGCCTGTGATCTGTTCACTGCTCAGCAAGAGTTTGATTAGTAGTTCTTTCCCTGTTGTTTTCCAATCAATCATCTGGTTTGGAACGTGTCTCTTTTCTTCCACCATTTGTTCTGTATTGTCACCCAAAGGGCAAATCATATTAAATCAGGAGTTGACTTAAATGCCAGTTGAAAATGCTAAAATCCATACTGTAAATCCATTAATGAACTGATCATTACATGAATCACCCACGTATCTCTTGTGCATACGAACTGAGACAAACAGTGACTAATGACATTGAAAGGCAGCAACTCGCTGAGCAAAAAATTAATGGCTACGTCAGGGGCAGAGAAACTCCTGTCAGCTCGAGTGTTTACACCAACCAGATCGCTGAAGACGAAACGTACCGGAAAGCGTCAGTGACTAATGGCAACCCGCAGGAAAGGGGGGAGAGAGAGAGTGTGTGATGCTTCCCTCTCTCCCCGCCCGTCTCTCGCAGCACCACCACAACCGTGGTTGTGAAACTGCCTTCTCCAGGGTTCAGGCTCCAATCCCAAACCAAAGGAGGGACTTCAGTAGCACACAAAACCTAGCACTCTAATCTCCCCTGAGTACTGGCCTACACAGACACCTCCTTCATGCGTGTTTCCATTGGGTAGAGTTTCCACCCTTGTTCTAATCCAACTCAGCCCTGTTTTGTCTGTTGTTAACAGCCTCTGAGAAATGTATTGTCGTGAAAGGAGGAAGAAAAGTGAAATGTAGCTTCCCCCCGCCCCCTCTGAGAGCAGCTCTGCTTTGGAAATAGGCCCTTTAAAAAGCCATTTCTCTCGTACCATATGGTCCCGCAAACAGGGCCCCTTGGTATTTTCCCAAAGGAGCTGAACTCTTACATCCACACAGATACCTGCACAGGGATGTTTACAGCAGCTTTATTTGTAATTACCATAGTTTGGAAGCAACCAAGGTGTTTTCAGTAGGTGAATGGATAAGTAACCGTGGTGCATCCAGAATATCATCCAAAGCTAAAACGAAGTGAGCTGTCAGGCCACAAACAGATGGGGAGGAACCTTAAATGCACGTTGCTAAGTAAGAGAAACCCATCTGAAAAGGCCACATACCGAATGATTCCAACATGTGACATTCTGGAAAAGGCAAAACTGTGGGGACGGTGAAAAATCGCGGGTTGGCCGGGGTCGGCCGGGGGCATGGGGGAGGGATAACCAGGTGGGGCGCTGAGGATTTTTCGGACGGCAGATCCACGCTGTGTGATACTACACGGAGAACACGCGTCATCATGACACTTCTGCCCAGACCCACAGGACGTCTGCCCCCAGGGCGGCTTTGGGTGATTCTGACGCGTCAGGGTGGGCTCCTCAGCGGCGGCACGCCTGCCCCTCCCCGGGGGGGGGGGTGCCCACCGACAGGCGGGCCGTGCACGTGCGGGGCAGGGGATGTACGTGAGATCTCTGTGCCTTCTATTGTTGCTGTGAATCTAAAACTAAAGGCTTTAAAAAGTGAAGTCTTTATAAAGAAAAAAGCAAAAAAACAAAATAAACAAAAAAACATAAAAAGATCGTTTGTCTCTGGGGGCGGAGCACGTCATTCAGGCCGTGGGCAGTAAGGCCCTTCCGCTCTCCGTGTGCCCTGAGCGGGGGGGCGTCCCACTGGAGCCCTGGAAGGGGGCGGACCTGGCGGAGGGAAGAGGCCTGGCCGTGTTCTGTAGGTACAGATGCCCCTGTTGTCTGGGTCCGCACAGTCCCACGCGGCAGGACTAGCCCCATGGAGTTAGTTACATTTAAATTAGTAAAACTGAAAACTAAATATTCACTTCACACTAGCCTCCATGCAAGTGCTCAATAGCCTATGGGGCTAATGGCTACTATACTAGACAGCACCGGTTTGGAACATTTTCATCATCTCAGAAAGTTCTGCAGTTGACTAGCACCACTCTAGACTCGAGGTAGCCACAGGGACTCCCTTGGAGGGTGAGTAAAATCACCAATCAAGAATGCACGTGGTTGAGAACCCTCAGTTCTAGATTCCGAATGACTCGAGTGACAGACACCATTTCCACAGGGACCACCCTAAAAGACAGAGGCCCATGGCAGGGCCAGGACTGCAGAGGGCTTGAGGGGTGTGCTGATGGCACCAGTGATTGAAGAGCAACTTCTCTTTTGCAATCCTTGCTGGTCTGACAGGCTCCTGCAGAATTACATCACTTCCTAAAAAGCAGGCAAACACTTCTCCTTCAAGTTCGCACCTACCCAAACAAGCAGGAAACAGGAAATGTTCACGTTTCAGGGAGGCTGAAGCCAGCACAGCATCATGCCGGAGGGAGAGCCCAGGAGAGCGGACAGGAAGGCTCCCCGCGCTGCCCTCCTCTTTGCCCTGATAATCGTGCTCCTTCCCTATGGCCGGGCTCAGGGTAAGTTACCTCCACCCGGAGGTGGAGGAGAATGAAGCCTTGTTTGGTGCCCGAGGCTACAGAGGCTACAGAACTCTGCCAGGGAAGCTAACACCCAGAAAATGTAATCCTTTTTTTGTGAAAGAAGTGGAGAAAATTAGAACTGTCTTTTTAAGGTGCCGGGGTGGGAGGGTGAACTTGGCTTTCCCTGCAGCTACCGAATCACGCTCCAGCTCGCTCATTTAGTGTAATCTGCCTGCAATCTTTGTCTTCTAAGATATGCGGGTCCCTGTAATTTACCAGCTTTAATGGGCATATTAAGAAAACCATAAAGTCTTTGGCAGTTCGTATAAAAGAATGTTTCATTCAGCTGAAACAGCGAAATAATAATAAATGTGGTTTTAATAATGTCGGCTGAAAAGGCTACTGGTCTCAAAACTCCTGGGAAAACTGGAGTATGGAAATGTACTACTGGAAAGTGTACTGAAAACAAGAAGCCGTAAGTTTATAAATATGTAAACAGGAAATTATCTGAGGAGTTCCCAGGAACCCACGGTAACTTTTTGAGAAAGGTTTTCTTTATCTGTTTCTCTTTGATCTTGTTACTTTGAGTGGTATTTCCTTTGCATTGATTGTTACTGATGACGCTTTGTTTAAAGAAGTAATGTGATTATAGCACATCAAGGGTATTGGAAAAGACCAAATATTAAATCTCATTCTTTCGAGCTAAGAGCAGCTATTGGTTTCTATGCTCGACAGTTGTTACAACAAGCCTGTCACCCTCAAACGCCTCTTACAGTGGTTTTGTTGACTTGCCTTTGGATAAACTTGCTGCCCATGGTTTCTTCAATGGGTGCTGCGTGCTTCTAGTGTAGGGTAGTACTTCAAGCAAAGGGGAAGTTCTCAAGCCCCATTTTTTTTTTTAATTTACTGATTTTGGAGAGAGAGAGAGAGAGAAACATCAGTTTGCTGTTCCACTTACTTATGCATTCATTGATTGCTTCTTGTATGTGCCCTGACCAGAGATTGAACCCACAACCTTGGTGTATCAGGATGACACTCTAACCAGCTGCGCTATCCAGCCAGGGCTTCAAGCCACAGTTCTTAAAGAGCACAGGGGCATCAGGCACCGATGACCTCACAGCTGTCACACTTCCTGGAGATTAGCAGTTGGCATCCAGCCACCCCTAGCCCACCGGCTGCTCTTTCCCTGCGGCTCTCTGAACGGCCTCTCCAGGCTTTTGAGGTGGGAAATGAAAGGTGAAAGGCAAACCATTCCAGCTGGAAAGATGTTTGGTTGAAATGGAGGTTGGCATCCAAAATGAGTTGGTTGAAATGGAGGTTCGCATTCCAAATGAATTTGGGGGACAATATGTTCTTTATGCATGAAGTTTTTGGAGCTGGGAGAGAGCCTAAAGATTATGCAGCTCCGGCTCCCCTGGGGGTACGGGTGAAGAAACCGAGGCAGAGGAAGTTGAGATGTCTGACTCCCACTGCTAGTCAGCTTTTCTGACCTGGACTCCAGGGTTCTCCTCTCCTCCAGGGGACCAACCACACATCTGACCACCACCACTGGTCTAGTCCTCAGAGCTTGCCCCAAAAAGCAGGGTTTGCCATCCCCTTCCACCTCTTGTAACTCTCACGACCACCACCAGCGTGCCCCTGAAACATGCCCCTGATTGCAATATGGACCTTGCCTGAGGAGGTTCTTGAGCTCTCTGAAAATGACTGAATGGAAGTGTTTGCAATTCAGGAGATGCAGAAGCAATATGTGAAGAGACCCAATCCATAAAATCTCTCTCTGAGACCCGCATGTGATCTCGTGACTCTTGAAGACCTTCGGTGGCTCCTCCTTTCTGCTCCTTAGACTCGAACGTCAATGTCCTGGCCAGTGGCCCCTCCTTCACGTGTCCCCCACTCCCCAGCCACAGCCCCTCTAGTCACACTGAATGGAGCGTGTGCTCCAGGCCTCTGTGGTTCTTGCCATTTGAGTGACAAGTTCTCTTTTTTACTTTCCAGTGAATTTCCATGTATCCTTAAAAGGCTGAGACTGAATGCCACCTCCTCCCTAACACCTCCCTCTGCCTCACCCTCCCTGGTGCTCTGTCTTTACTCCCTGTTCTGCCCATGCACCTAAATGCACGTAAACTCAGCTCATCGCTTTGAATCCGAACTGTGTCTCTGCCCATATCTTCCACCCGGCTGCGAGCACCTGCAGGGAAAATCCTCTCAGTTCGCATTTGACTTCCCAAAACCCAGTAAGGAGTCGGCATGAATTAGGAGCTCGATAATTGTTAAAAAAATACTAAAATCATCCTAGAATGGATAGGAGGCTAATTACTAAGCACTGATGAGCTACGGATAACAGGTAGTGTTAGCACGTCAGAGGTCAAAGATAAAAAGCTGCATTTCAATCACAGCTGCATCTTAGTAGAACACAGGCATTACCCAGCTAATCCAACACATTTGCCGGGCCCTTCCTGGGTTCCCCAGGTCTGAAAATACAAAAATGCTACTTGCAAAAAGCTGTATAATCCAGCTTATTGCTTTAAGATTAGTCAAGGGAAAGGCTACTTTAAATTAAAGACTGAATGTACATTTTTGAAATTAATTAATGTATATCCTTTTGAGCTGATGGTGCCTAAGACTTCAAGATGAGTTAGTGTATCGGTGTCACACTTGTATTTCCTTGAATCCTTCCAAAAAAAAAATACCTGGAGATGTTTGGCGAAAGAATCCAATCTACCGAACGGCCCAGCTCTCTCTCTCTCGCAAGCATATTATGGGATATACCAGAAATCAAGCCTTTCTGAACCACAATCAGGCAACACTATATAATACCTGCAGCTGCCCGAGACTCCTGCGCCACTGCTTCTGAGTCAGCGTCTTTCTCTTTGTGCAGATTGAGAACCGGACGCAGAATCGATTATTATCCCAAGTGAATAGTCCACTAGAAGTCACCAAGAGGAAAATAAGAAAATGGCTTTTCTGGGGTTTTTGACCAAACAGATGAGCAAACAGGTGAAGGAGAGCCGTAGGCCTAGGTGTCCTGGCCAGAGTGGGATGCTAAGCAAGTTCAGACTCGAGGTGACAGCTGCCCGTGGAGTGAAGGGAGGCGTCTCCACGTCGCCCCTTACCCTGGGCCTGTCAGTGTCCACCGAACACTCCCGGGAAGGTAGCTGCTGCTTCCAGACACCATGCGCATAGGGTCGTTAGCTGCGGCATGCAGAGCAGTTTGCAGAAGGAAGAGTGAAGGGCTTAGGGCAGAAACAAGGGGGCTACAGTGGGAGGGGCGGCCACTAGTGTGGAAGGCTGGGTTTGACAGCGAGGACCGGGAGCCTGGGGGCTGCTTCGAAAGAGGAAGAACCATGCAATTCTTGATTAATGAGCCTTGAGAAGAAGGTAAAGAATAGAAGAAAATACTTGTTGCGTCGATGAGGTGGCACTTTCTGACACTGTTCTCATTTCGATGAATGTGACTGCCGCCTGCTATTCCCTGGGACCGTCCCAGTGAAGCAGTACCAATGGTGGCAGGGGACCTATACAGCACTCATTATATGCCAGGCACTGTTCTGAACACCTTCCACACACCAACTCATTTAACTCTCCTAACAGTCTCCTACAGAGGTACTATTATTTCTGTTCTAGGTAGGAGAAAATTGAGGCACAGGGAGGTTAAATGATTTGCCCAAGGTCACACAGCTAAATAGTAGATCTAAGTAAGATTCAGCTTCAGGAGTCTGTGCTCCAACCACATGCTAGATTACCTCTGGGTTTTCAAGCTGTGTGTCTAGTTTCAGATCCCTAAGGTTGCTTACCACACGTTAGACAAGGAGCTATATTTGGTGTGGGCAGAGATGGGCTGACAGGCAGGGGGTGGTGAGAGTTGGGTTAAACTTTGGGCTGAAGAGGGGGAAGGGTGGGGCTAAAAGGTGCAGAGCAAAATAGAATCTGAGGATTAGCATAGTTAAAACCCGAAGCAGGTCCGGGGATTGTTCAGTCTCTGGGTAAGAGGCTTGTGGGTGTGGGAACCAGGGAGGGAAAGCCCAGCCTCGCTGTGGGAGAGCCCTGCTGGGACTGGGCCCCAAGGACCAGACTCCAAAAACAAAGCCAGACAACAAAACAAAACAAAAACCAGCAGAGAGGGATTTACTGAGGCTCCAAGTCCCTCGGTTTCAGAAAGACTGACCCAGGAAACGAGGAGAGGGCAGGATCCTGGCCGGGGTGAGCTCAGTTCTATAAAGAAACAGTGCAACCTGCAATTTGCCTACCTGTGTGTAGTTTGCGGCACCTTCAGATGTTGACAAAGAGGTGGGGAGACAGGGACTCCACACCCCTGGATGGGGTGGGGGGTAGGTTAATGCCACCACCAGTCTCTCTTGCTGCTTAGCCCACCCCTTGGACTTTTAATGTCAGTTTTTATAGTTTTCATGTCTAGAAAATCTATTTTTATTTCTAAAAACTCCTTCATATAATATACTATATATATAGTGTCTTGTGTTATTTTCTTGTGTTATTTACTTCTCCTTATGTCCTTATTTTCAACGTATTACTGTTTGATAACTCGTATCTGAGATTTCAGTAGACCTAATCTTGTTACCTGCTGTATCTGTCAGCCCCCATTCACGATGCAAATATTGGGAGCACTGAGGTGGAACCTGGCACACAGGATGACTCACCCTATGTAGCAGAACCCCAAATGTTCTTATCCTATCACCAGGCTGAAAATGTTACACCAGGGCAAGCCCCGTCCGATCGCCACAAAATGGCATTTGAGAGAACGCAGGACAGGAATGTATGTGCTGGGCTTGAGGAGAGCTGGTGCTCAGATCTCAGCCTTAAGCCTCAACCTGGGCTGGGGAGGGGGCGGACCTTGGGGGTCAGCCTTCAGGAGTTGCATGAGGAGGTGCGAAAACCTTATTAAAAGTGCCAGCCAGCAAACCAGCGTTAGCAGTGGAGCCAACTTGGTAACCAGAAGCAGGTAATCAAGAAGGCCAATCAGAAAGGAATAGACAACACCA